AAAATATTTATTACCCCACCCCATAACTAATTTTATGAAAACGCTAGAAATTGATCAGATCGGTTTTAGTGATTACAATAATTAAAAGCACAGGGCTTTGAGGAATGCAAATCATGTTTTTTTTTGTTTTTAATTGGATACGCAGTACCTGAAAATCAGCTCTGAATTGTAACATACAAAACTCAATAAAACAAAGATATTATTTAATTTCAAATGCTTTTATTTGCTTTTTAGTTGTTTTTATGAATATGGACAATATTTTCTGAAAGCAAAAAATTTTTTTCGATGAAAAATGAATTTTTAATACAATTATTTGTTATTTCATTAATTATAATAGATTTTACATTTAAGTTGTTAAAATATTATAAAATTAGTTAAAAGTCGATCGGCTTTCATAAGTGTCCTTATGAGATAGATCTTTTTTTTAGCGTTGTAAATTGTATCATTTTGACTAATCAGAAGATCCCCAGTAATTAAGAAATGTAATTTTGTGCTTATAATCGAGCTGTAATTATAAAATACGGAAGACCAACCAGAATAAAATTAAGTTGCGTTATTTGAGTTAAGCATTGTTCCCGCTGTTAAGGCCTTTACTTTTTTGCGAAACACGTGTGGAGAAGTTAATTTGATTTTTTCAATTTCAACTGAGAAGGATACCTACAAGTATCAGTATCATCTTATGAAATTTATATGATCTTATTTTTATATTAATCTCAGTTACGACATTTTTCCATAAATGAAATATCAAAATTAATAATAAAATGAATGCAAATACAAATAACAGTAGAATGTAATAAATGTACATAAAATTATAGTATTTTTATGTACAATTCTGATAAAATTTCATAAGAAAGGTACCTATAAATTAATTAGATACCTTTCTTAAGAAATATGAAATTTAATGTCACTCTTAACAGTTTTATTTTAATTTCTTTACAATATATTTCCCATAAAGCATCATAAACGTAAAGCTGAAGGTAAGTACAAAAAAAAAAAAAAAAAAAATTAGACCGCTGAAAGTTTTCGTTAAAAATAACGGGTAAATAATTTGTTCACGTAAATGTAAATTATTTCACTTTTCTCCTTCAGAGAACAAATTAGCCTCATGGAATTGTAAATATATCATTCATCACATGTCAAGAGACGCGAAAAGTTTATGACCTGCTTTGTTTTATTTTCAAATTACATCTTTTTGGCACAAAAGCTAAGTTAAGTTTGGTTCAAAATATTTTAAATAAACATTATAATTTCTGATTTTCTTAAAATAAGTTTTGAAAAAATGATAATTGATATTTAAAAAATTTCAAAGTCAGATTTCCATTTTTTTTTTAAAATGGAAAAAAAAATGGTCAATTTTGCTGACTCAAAAAAAAAAAATAGATTTTTAACGAAAATTTCAGACGTGCTAGGAACGATTAAAAATGGAAAAAATACCCCAAAATACTTTGACCTTTCCTCTTAATAATAAACATTTAGACGATAAAATTTTGTTTTCGTCAAGTTTGGCGTCTTTTTCATCATGCTATGCTCTTTTTTTAGCGATCTCGTGGAGGTACCTATACTAAATGGACAAACTAATTTACTGATTCTGTTTATGTTTAGTACATCTTTTGGCCAAATGTTATGCTAACAATGAAAACAGAATCAACGAATGATTATCTAGCTGAATACAATATTTTAAGAAGCAATCATTTTTGCAGAAAATCTTTGCATATGATGTTGAACCTCAAGAAACCAAATATTTTGAAATTTCAAAATGGAAATATCTAAAAACAGCTGTTGCATAAACTTACCAGGAATAACAGATAGTAATATAATTATGAATGGATTTATCAGATTTCTAAAACTCTCAAATGATGACATTGAAGAATAAACTTAGATAAGAACTTGGTTTTTGAGAGCTAGGAATAGAAACAGTTTGAGTATTATTTTGATCACAATTATAAATTCAGAATTAAACATTTTAATAATGTCATCTGAAATATAATTGAGCTGATATAAATGTAGTCTTTGTGCATGCATTTAAAACAAATCTTCATAGTTTTATTTTATTTATTTTTAGCCTATGCATATTTCTGTTGATTCAAACAGCAGGAGCCATATTTTAAAAACTTCAGCTTTTTGTGTGTGCATAGATTTAATAAATTGCTACCTATAATTAACTATACAGTCCTCTATGTAAACTTATGGTTTTTATTGGGCTTAAAAAAAATTGTCCCAAATGAGTGTTTGCTAAGCTTAGTCTCAAAGCAAACAAAAAGGTACAATACCGTATTTATCATCATATATCATTACTTAATTGTAGGTACCTCCAAAGATTTGCTAAAAAATTAGCATACATGATGAAAAAATGCCACAAACTTAAAAACAAAGTTTTATCATCAAAATCTTTATATTAAAGAAGACTAAAGGATTTTTTTATTATTATATTTTTGATCCTTTTTAGAACCTTCAAAATTTTGTTTTTTCTTATATCAGCAGGTGATTATGGGAAGTTATTTTTTAGTGTCTTTTTGCACTGAAAAACACATTTAGAAATTGTCAGATTTTAATGAAACTTTCAAGACTCATTCACAAATGAATAAAATTAATTTTTTTAAATGTTTTTTTTTTTTTTCCCAGAAAATCTTTGTAAAGATTTTTTTTTTTTTACATGTTAACCTCCAGTTATTTAATTTTATGAAATTTTGAGAAATTCTTTTTGTAGGGCTTAATTAATTATAAGGAGAAGTCTTGGAGAATTTATCATGAATTTTTTTTTCAAATTGTATTCCCAGTTAGAGAAATCGATTCTGAATCATAAAATACAAAATGCAATAAAATTATTAAGACATTATTAATTAGGAAAGCTTTTGTTTTCATGTATAAAATATGGTCATTATTGTCTTGAAAAAGGTTTTCCCAATGAATAATGAATTTTTACAACAATGTTTTCATTTTTTAAAAACTTTATTTAGAATAATTTATAAATTTTAAATCTTTTAAATGTTCTGTATTAATTTGTAGCGATCGATATTGTTAAGCCAAAACGGTATTTATTTACTAATACTAATCATAAATGAAAAAAAAAATCATTACAATTCATTCAATGACGCCCAATACTTGTAAGTGAATTATGAATTTATATATGTACTAAAAAACGTGTCGATTTTTGTAAATACGGATTTCCAAATACGACAATATCAGAAAATAAGAATTAATTTCCTCAACAAGTGTCTTCGTAAGTTAGACTACATTAAAGTACCTAAAATTCAATAAAGATTGCTTAGAATATTTTCCTAATTTTTTACTCATTACTGAGTAGTTAAAGCGTTCATATTCAATTAGAAAAAAAAAAATTACCAAACATAAGTGAAATCAATGATCAATCGAGAAAGGAGTCAACACAACAGTTATTGTTGTGTTTTTTTGTTAGTCTAAGACACCCACCTCTATGTTTTAAAAAAATGCTTTTCTGTGACATTTTTTGAACTAAAAGTAATTTATTAAAAAAAAAATCTTTAAATTAGCTAATCTTCCTCAAAGTTTCAGAAAAGTATATTTTATTTTTGAAAGATTCTTCTTAATAAAAAGAAGTACGTTTTTTTTGTGAGTTGACAGATTTGTCAATATGGACGATTAGCGTTTTTACTGATAAAACAAAAAAAACAACACTTCACTTATTCCAGCCAATATAATAAATTCAGTTTGAAATATAGCAAAGTATTTTGCTTATTGGAAAAATAAATTTAATATTAGCTTGAAATTAATTAAACCTAAAATAAATAAAAACTTCAAGAAAGATTTTTTTCATTTTTAAAAATTAATTTTAAACCCCCAAAGAAAACTGACACCTACAAACTTAATTGTAAAAAGTTTTGGAAGTGTAAATAAAAATTTCATTTTGCAAGTATCCATAAATTTTATGGTTACTTCCAATCTACATTTGCAAAATAATTGCCATGTGTTTATTTATGCAAAACAAAGAGAAACATAAAAATACTTGATAACTTTTTTACTTTACTTTTTCAAGCAACTTTTTTTTGTTATTAGCGCCACTTTAATTTCTGAACAAAAAAACAAATAAAGGATTGTGATAATGTTAAATAAATACTTAAATCATGTCGCACGATTAGAAAAATTTCATTGATTCATTAATTTATTTTAAAATATAAAAAAAAATTTTTTTTCGTTTTTTTAACAAATCAATTTCTTCTTTACTTTAAAAGGTAGAATGTGGCGAGGATATTTCTAGCCCCAGCATAGTTTTCAATACAAAAATACATCAAGAAAAAAGTATCAAGGATATGTATTAGAAATACTGATTCTCCCAATTTGGTAGGATTTCTACATGACAAATCTAATTAGACTACACATCACTTACACCCTCTGAATTTAGGACTGATGTTGTAAAGATAGAGTCGAAGACGAACAGGTGAAACCTTGTGTAGATACTTACGTTACGATATAGAGACTGAAATCATTATACGCAGAGTATATTGTTAAATAATTTTGACTCAACAATTAGACATTGTAATTAACTCTTGTTTTCCTTAACCAAAGCCAGCCTAAATCAGAAATATTTGAGACAACACACATTTACTTGAAAATCTATTTTTTCTCTCCTGCTTGCTATCAGAGAGGTAGGGTATCATCAAAAATAGAGGAAATGACGTAATGTTAACTGGTGTTCGCAGTAACGAATTATATTTTTTTAAGATAAAATGGTTTTTCATTTTATTTATTTTATTTCTAAGGAAGAAAACATTCCAACGGTTGTCAAAAAAAATAGCTAAATCTAACGTCTGCCGGATACAGTTAGTCGGTGCGGTATGAATTTACAGTAGGCATGTGACGTCATATGAAGCCTTGTAAGAAGTGATCTCGTCCGATGACCAGATTGGAAAAGTGAATGTATTGGTGTGAATTATTTTGAGTTGTGTGATTGTGTGTTTGTTTTGTTTGTACTCAACAGCCTTGCCGTTGGATTTTTTGTTTTTTCAAGGCCCAAACCTTAAGGTATGAACGGGCTTTCATTTAGCGAGCTTTGTTGTCTTTTTTGTTGTCCGCCATGTCCCTCTCGTATTGCTGCAAAACTGGCATTCCTACCTCCAGAACCGACGTATACTTTGGTTTCGGACCAAACGGGATCAAGGTATAGTTTACATCTCACAGAGCGAGCAGAATGGCAGTATACACAAAAAGAATTGGATTGTATTGAAGTGTTCATGACAAGAACGACGCGAGGAAACCGTATTTCCTGTATGTTTGTCCGCTGTTCACCAAATGCTCGCTTCACACTTCTATTTAGCCACGGGAATGCCGTCGATTTAGGACAAATGAGTAGTTTTTATATTGGACTTGGATCACGAATTAACTGCAATATCTTTAGTTATGATTATTCTGGTTACGGAACGAGTTCTGGCAAGCCTTCTGAAAAAAATCTTTATTCGGATATTGATGCGGCATTACAAGCCCTTCGGACTCGTTATGGTATCAGCCCACAAAATGTAATTTTGTATGGACAGAGCATAGGAACTGTTCCAACAGTGGATTTGGCTTCAAGATTCGAAGTTGGAGCGGTCATTCTACATTCGCCCCTCACGTCCGGTGTTCGGTTGGCATTCCCGGACACAAAACGAACTTGGTTTTTTGACGCTTTCCCTAGGTAAGTAAAACAAAAACTGAAAAAAAAGTCAATTAACAACGAACAATATTGTTTAAAAAAAGAAAAAGAAATACTTCGTGATCATCTGTATATAACATCATATATTTTAAATTCTTAAAAGAATTTTCTATTTTTTTTTTTTTTATTTCAATATCTCTGCTGAAAATAATCTTCGAATTCCAGTATTTTTTGTTTGTGTAAAAACTAAACCCAGTTATTTGGGTGTGCTACTCTATTTCAGAAGATGTGGGTGTGCTCGTTTTCTCTCTTAAACGCCTCTGTTCGCTTTCTCGCTCTTCTTATTTTAAGTTGTTTTCTTTTTTTAAATAATAGCAATTAACGTTTTCTAACTACATCAACTTTATTTCGTTCATAGGCTTTATCTGCTTATAAAAAATAAATAAATTAATAATACCCATATGGTATGATTGTCAAATTTGTAGTTAATTTTTTTTTCTATATGTATGTTAATGAGTCGGTGTTAGTGTTATTTTATATGGGTTACTTTTCGTTTTGCCGTTAACGAAATTACATGTTTAACATGAAAACAGAAAAATGTACGTTGAATATTAAATTAAAAAATGCTCTGATATCACGTGTCGTGCCCTATTTCTGAAGCAATAAAATGTTTTAAATATTTCACCTTTTCCATCGAGTTGCCGATACCACTCTTTTTTGTAACTCCTGCTTAGCTTATTTTTTAATTTCATTTTTGACAGCCCAATAATGGTAATTGATAGTTAAATAATTTGTTACCTTGGTTAACAGTAACTTTGTTTTGTATTTTACTTCTTTTCATGTAGTGTTGGAAAAACATCCAGCTGTTTCGATTGAATATGCACTCACTTGAAGATTGGGAAATAGAAACTATTTTTGATCATCCTCGAATTTTAAAAATACTTTTTTGTATCTTGCTGTCTACATTTTATTAACTAGCTACACTTAGCATATGATTAAAATCCCTTTTAAAATTGTTTTGTTTATGTAAATGACCACTAACCGATTGAAAGTATTTAAGTCGTGTAATCTGTTAGATTAAATGACTCGACTTGTCAATATGCTGTTTTTTTTTTTTTTTGCCTCATCTTGGAAACTGGGACGAACCAGCTGTTTAATTTCAATGACAACTGAAGGCATATTTCAGACTACTGTTTTTAGTTTTTCTAAACCTTTTCTATTTAGCTTATTGTTTTAATTTATATAAGCTTAATTTTTGCTGAATTCTTTTCTATTTTTTTATCATTTTGTGTAATTTTTAATTGGATATACACATTTTGTAAAAAAAAAAAAAAAAATTATGGCATCGTGTTTTTTCATTATCTTAAAAATAGTCATTTTACTGGTGGCACTTTCCAAAACCAATTATTTCGACTACAAACAAGACAAAAGGTTTTTATCTCTCTTTTTTTTTTTTTAATTTTATTTAAAAAAAATTAAAATGGTTTGATTTTTTGTTGTTACTAATCTCAGATTTTTTTTTTTAATGATTCATCAATTTGAAATTTAGCTCTCTCTCTCTCTCTCTCTCTCTCTCTCACACACACACATATTTTTAAACAAAATAGCTCTTCTTACCGTTCTTTTTGCAAAAAATGCATTATTTGTGAACAGCAACACTTTGCAATGATTAAATTGACTTCAGTGGTAAAAACAATAAAGAATATGCGTTTAAAAACTGGTCTGCTTCAGTCATGTCTTTTTAAATTTAAAATGTTAGTTTTACTTTTTTCTATTTTAATTTGACCTCTTGGTTCAGAAGCACTAACAGAAAGTTATTGCAATTTTTATCAAAGAATCACTTGGTTTTTATGCAGATAAAAACCCCTTAATTTTTGTATACACTGTTTTCGAATGAATTTGGGAACTTCAAAATTTTCATGATCAAAAAAAAAAAAAAAAAAAGTAACTGCATTACTTTTATTTTATTTTTTTAAATGATACCTTACAGTTATCTGTTGTCTGGAATTCAATTCCCGTTCATTGCCAGTGCAAAAACAATACGTACATGTGCACACACAGGTTATTACTTTTCTAGGCGTATATTTTTCTATTTAAAACTACAAGTCATTTTGTTTTGTAATTTTTACTTCATGGAGTTCATCCTTTCTTTTATGTTTCTTTAGTTTTAAAGAATCAAACCGAAAAATGTATATTGGCTTTGATAACAATAACATTAACAGCCTAGGTAGGACGAGCTTTTCAAAAATGGGTTTTGTTTTATTTACTTCTGGGATTTTTTTTTTTTTTTTTTTTATAATCACAATAAAACTTTGTTACTTAATTCTTCTCTAGGGAAATTCTGGGTATGGTACAGGGGATTATTATAATTCTGGATATCAGTCTTTGTAACTGTAAATCTCTCGTTTTTTCACATTTTTTTAAGGCATGACTAAAGAAAGAACCAAGATCTTTTTATCGATAAGGAAGCGGTTTTAACTTTGTTTTTATTAAAGTTAAATCAAGAAGGATTCAATGATTTTAGTTTTTTCATTATCCACTTGATTTTGAAATTATTTTGGTTTTGTTGAGTCTTGAATTTTATTAAGATGTCACAAAAGTATTTTATACAAAAAGGGGAATTTGCGTTATTAAAAGTATACACTTGTTAACAATTACTACAAATAATTGACATTCTCATGAAGTGAAATTTTGACTTCGTCTTTGACTACATATTGTCATCTTTAACAAATTTGTTTGTGATTCATTGACTTGAACAACTGTGGATAATTCTCTTTAACTTTCAATTTGCAACACTAATTTCAACTGCTTTTAAAAAAGTAAATTTTCCTTTTAAAGTAGAATTCATAGTTCTCATATTTTCATCGCTGAATTGTAATTAATGTATTTTTTTGCTTAGAACTTTATATTGTTTTTCTTAATGATTTCCGAGTTGCTTTCCTTCTAAGTTTGTTTAAAACTGGATTGAATTGAACTGTTAGTGACTGTGTAACTCTAAATATTTTTTTAGATTTTAGAAACCACTAAAAATTAATTTTTTTTTTTTTTTACTTACAAATTAGAACTGGCAAATATCTTTTTGCTTATAAAAAACATTGTTAAACGCAAAAATATTTCTTAGAAGAAAATTGAGGTTGATTCTCTAGTTTTTAGATTCTTGAAGAGTTCCATCTTCCATCCCTTAACTTGCTTGACATTACTGGAGACTAGCAATATTGTTTAATTCTCTGTAAAAAGTTTCTTTCAATCTCTAATTTCTATTAATTTTTAAGCTTTCTTTCAAACCATTTGCAACTACTAGTCATTCCTCAAAATAAGTGTTACTGTACTCTTTTATAACATTTTTCTAAATTTCCTTTCGTTTTTTTAAACTTAAAAATCTGTTAGTAGTGTTAACTTAATATAAAATTTATAAATGAATCAAGATTGAAATTTGATAGTTAAAAAAAGAAGATTGGCAACAGTTTCATTCAATGTAGTCATAGTAACTAACAATACTTTCTACAAGAATGTTTAAAATCTATGTGACATGCATCTACATATTTACGAAGGCGATGCTAGATGCATGGTGAAATAATGGATTGCAGCTTGGATTGAGGAACTAGAGTTTAGTTCATTACATTCATTTACATGTTAATACCCTTGGGAAAGGTATGAATCCATCTTTTCTCCTCTCAGCTGTGAGTAAATAACAGGACTGGGTTCTATAGTCTTCTTGAGTGTCAACTGGTATAGAAGAAAAAATTCTGAATTCAAAATCTCCAACTATGGTAGTCTGGGATCTGTAGCCATGGTTGGCAACCAAGCTAGGAGAAAAAACTCTGAATTCAAATCCAGAGCTGGATTCCCACAGTCAGTCCAATGTCATTGTCAATTTTGGTCTGGCAACTCTTTCAATGCTGCTAGTGCTAAGGTGTATTGGCCTCTGCCTTTCCCTTGGACAGCATTGGTGGCATGGAGAGGGGAGACGTGGTGCATGGGCAACTGCTGATCTCTAATAAAAAATACCCTCACAAGATCTGTGTCTTGGAGAGTGCATAACTCTTCGGACACAGATCAATGGTCTCTCAAGAACTACGAATGACATTCTTTGGGGGGGTGTAATTATTTTATTTTCATCTTTGTTGACTTGAGCAACAGATTAATCTGCCCCTAAATTTTTTTTTTTTTTTTTTTTTTTTTTTTAATTGAGGTGAAAATATTAGGTGGGGTTTAAAATGTTCTATAAATCTGGGGAAGGTTGGAGAGCTGACTATTCAAAATATTGTAATTGAAACAATAAATGTCTGTATACCTACTCAAATATATTTCAATCAAGATTTTATATTGGTCAATTTTTATTTTTGGTGCATGTGTATAAAATATAATTGTTGGTTAGTAATTTAAATTTTTGACTATAGAAACTGAGCTTATTTTAACTGAAGGTTACAATACAGCACTTTATTTTTACATCATACGTTTGGGGGACTTTCTATAACCCATTCAATAGTTTGAAAATGTTTATATAGTACAGAATCTAGCTATTTCATGTCTTTTACTAATTTACTAGTTTTACTTTTTAAGTAGATAGAAAATCATAAAAAAACAATTATCAGTATTTTTAACTCTAATGTCCTTTTGTTAAATTGATTAACCTGTTTCAATTAATGTCTTACCTTAGCCAAGCCAGTGTTTGATTTTGGATAAGCTGTATTCATTAATTTCTAAGACAGTAGAAATATTTGATATTTTTCTTATCAAATTAGAATAAATGTTTGTATTCTAAATCAGAGAATAGATTTATGGTAAAATCTAATTATGATTTCATATTTAAAAAATGTTTATTTACTGAGAAAAGTGAGGTAAAAAGTGTCATTTTATGAAACCTTTAACAACTGAACTCTAAGTGTTTTGAGGCTAGCAGATTTTTCATTTCTAATATGAATGATTGAATGTGTAGGTGGTTGAATCATGGTAGAAAGTGGAATCAACAAGCAGAGTTCAAATTCCTGATTAGTTTTTGTGCTCGCTTTTACACAAATACTCTTGGGGAAAGGCATGAA